TACCAGAAAAAAAACAAAAAAACATAAACAAAAACATTTCTGCTGTCAGAGCCTGGTTAGTTCAGTAGAGGCGATGAGAACACACAATTGAATACAAAAACAATTGAAATTGAAATAAATATGAAAAATGCCCCCCATAGAAAGGTGTACATCATGCAACTGTAAGTCCAAGGGATGTGTAAACTTACCTAACAGTTAATTCAGGAGTTGAACTGTGGATAAACTTATCAGAAGAGAACACATAACTATTGTTGCCTTGCTCTGAGTTAATAAGTGGAAAAGTTGAACAAAACAAAATTCACCCATTTCACAACCCAGGGCTCCCAGCAAGGCCATTGCTTTTCTCCCATTATTATTCCTGTATGCTCTTGGTGTCTGGGTTATTAACACTGCATTCAGGTCAGATGAGAATATGTTCAATCTGCCATGCTTTGATAACTAAAGTAAAATGCTGATGGAGATCATTTAAGAGCGTTCTCTGCTTTGATTGCATGCTTGTGGCTCATAATCAGAATGATGCAAAGTAATTGTTAGACTGACTCGCCAAGGCTACATTTTATGTCGCTGCAACTGTCAGCACTTTGTATCTGTTGTGCTGCCTGAAGAGCTCTCGCCCAGCACCCGTTGGGCGGCTAATGCACGTCTCTCCGCTGAATACCACGGATAACTTTTGTTCTAGCATCTTTGCTTGCCCCCTCCAATTACCTGAAAAAGAAATATTTGCCTGTCTAGTGAAAGCAAGTGCTTCTGTATGTGTGTGTGTGTGTGTGTGTGTGTGTGTGTGTGTGTGTGTGTGTGCTTGTGCCTGCTAGAGTGCTTATGCATCACGACTTGAATATAAAAACCCATGTACACGTTGCTAGGAGCTCATCTCTTCCCTTTGGCCACAAAACCCTGACAAACAGGGCTTTGTCCCTTGCTGTTTGTGTGATTTGGATAGGTTACTTTTCTTGAGACCTGTTCTCCTCATGTGTACAGTGGGGCTAATGGAACCTATTTTACAGAGACATTTTTGGGTCAGGATTACAGATAATAGATAACAAAGTGTCTGCAGAAATCAGGTACTCAGTAAATGGTAGTAGCTAATATTAAGAAAGCTAATGCTTACTAAGGATGGTACAATATAATGGTGTGTCTGTCACCTTCCTGACACTATAACAAATACTTAAAATAATTAACTTATTGAGAAAAAAGGTTTATTTTGGCTGATGGTTTCAAAGGATGCAGTCCATGATCAGTTGGCCCTGTTGCTTTTAGGCCTGTGGTGAGGCATTACCTCATGGTGGGAGTGCATGGCAGAGCACAGCTGCTCCCCAATGGCAAAAGACAAAGAGGAAGGGGTCAGGGTCCCACAGGTCCCTTGGAAGCCACACCCCAAAGACCTAAGGACCTCCCACTAGGCCCCGCCTCTTAAAGATACCATACCTCCCAATTGTACCACTCTGGGGACCAATCTCCAACACACTGGCCTTTAGGAAACATTTAAGAGCCAAACTATAGCAAATGGCAAGACCATATTTTCAAGTCAGCAGTCAGTAAACATACTTTAACCATGGAAGATGTAGTATCAGCAGTTTCCAGGCTAGTTCACATTTACTAGAGACACATAATTGGATGAGGATTGTTAGAATCCAAACTATAACTTTCTATGGCTAGGGCTGTTATGAAGAATGTGTTACCAGCCATTGCATGTACACCTTTATAGGATATGGAAGACCCTTTGAAAGCTAATTTAGGAATGTATATACCTTACTTTGATTGTAACTGCCAGTTTTGGTGACAAAGAGCTAAAATCCTAGCACTCTGGAGGCTGAGGCAGAAAGATCACAAATTCTAGCCCAGTCTGGGCAACTTAGCAACTGACTTACCAAAACCAATTTTAAAAGGGCTGGGGATGTAGTTCAGGGGAAAGGCTCTTGCTTTGATATCATATACCACCAAAATGGGGGCTGTTATATTAGCATATAACATAGCCTGATCATCTGCTGCTTGCTCATGGGAAAGCAGTCACCATAAGAGCTGAACAATGTAAAAAACCCATCGCTGTAAGGAGTTCATTGTTAGGTTGTAGATATCTCTCCAGCTCTGAGATGTACCATCCAAAGAGATTTGTTACAGGAGCTCAGCTCACCTCCCATGATACGGTGAATCTCTGGTGTGAGCTGTCCAAAAGAGGCTGTGATTCTGTCCAGTGCCAACACTGAAGGTCTGTATTCTTCTCTCCTAATATTAATTCTTTCTCATGTAGTCAAAATAGAATAGTAGGGGGCTGGGGATTTAGTTCAGCAGCACGACGCCTGCCTGGCCAGTGAGAAGTCATGAGTTCATTTCCCGGTACCGGAAAAAAACAAAACAAACAAACAAACAAACAAATAGAATACTAAAGTCTTTTCTAAAAGCATGACCCCTAAGACAGATTGTTACTCTCTATAAAACTCGCACAAGCTGGGCCAGGATGACACACTTAGGGAACATTCACTGGATGGGTCTCGTGAAGGGACTTTCACCTGTAATTTCCTGTGGACTCCACTTTTGGTCTCTCCAGGATTTCATAGCCCACATCTGACTTGCTGTTTCCCTGTTGCCTCAGTGAGTCCTGTCTTTCTCTCTCTGCTGCTTCCTGCCAGCATGGACCTCCTGCCTGTGGGCGGGAACAGCATTGGGAATGCTTAGAAAAGCCACCTGCATGCTAGCAGGAAAAGGCAGTCTCTTCACTTCCTCTGACCCTGTGGGGACACTCCCACTCCTGTAGTACAGTTTTCTCTATAGAAGGAAAGGGACCCGTCATGTGACTCACACAAAGCATATCACATGTTTTACCAGACCTGCCATTCTCTTTGAAGAGGAAAACAGACTAGAGATACTGACATTGCATAGACATTCCAACTTTTGATACCTTCTAAATAAGCTGAGTCCTGAAGGACTAACTTCCTCCCTTCCTTCCTTCCTTCCTTCCTTCCTTCCTTCCTTCCTTCCTTCCTTCATTCATTCATTCCACTGGAGATTGAACCCAGGGTCTTCACACTGAGCTACATCCCTAGCCCTTTTTTGTGTTTTTCTTTTGAGACAGGGTCTCACTAAGCAGCTAAATTACCTACCCAGGCTGGGATTCAGATTGGGATCCTCCTGCCTCAGCCTCCCAAACTTTTTTAGATTTTGAAGTTCAGTAGTGTGATGTAATGTCTGGGATCACTCAAGACTCTACAGCATTCAGTTTGTCTTTCCTGGCATTATTAGGCAATTCTACCATAATGGCACTGGAAATAGGGATCTGTGTTTAGCTTCAGATTTAGGATTTCATACTTGAAATAGGCATCCTTGTCTACTACTATGTCTTGTCGTTAAAATTGTGTCCCTTTCTGTAGATGGGATGCCCACTGAATATTGTGATTTGTCATTTTATTCCCTGTGGTATATGTGTTATTTTGTATTCTTCTAAGTTACACCCACTCAAACAAAAACAGTTTTTTTGCTGTTAAGACTTATTATATTTATGCTATCTGCCTTTCTTGGTCGAGAAGAAAATGTAGCGGAGAAAGAACCACATGCTAACACAGTGTGTAGTCACTTCTCATAAATATGAATACTTTGGTAGATTCTGTAATTTCAACAAACAAATGTTTATTGGTTCATTCTTCCTAAGCAAAACTCTTGCAGTCCTTAAAAATTATGATGCAGTTGAATTTACTGAGGTTAAGGTTTTTAATATATCAGGTGAGAAAATGATCAGGCAGCAGAATATTATGAATATGCGTATAGTATGCTATAGATAAATTATATATGGATGTGTGAAATTATGTGTATAATGAACTGTATACATCCATGGGCAAGGGAGCGAGCCTGGAGCCTTATAAATGGCTATGTTTATAGTGATTACTAGCGGGGTTTTGCTGATTGCTGTTATTTGGGGTTTTCCTCCATCTATATTACCTAATTATAAACACTCTTATTTTGTTCTTATTCTTCTTATCCGACGAGAGGGGACAAGAAGAGGCTACAATACAAGTACTTACATTCAGATGAATTATAAAATTATCATAGTCTCTCTATTGTTGCAGGTATGCAGATGTATTGTGCCAAACAGAAATAAAGGCTTCCCTTTTTTTTTTTTTAAGTCTCTTCTGCATGCCAGGCACTGTGATAAGAACGTGAAATGATATACGAAGCAGGTATTATTACTGCCATTATGCAAATGAGGAAGGAGCTCAGAGAGTTTCAGTCACCGGAATCACACAGCCAGGCAGTGACAGCTGAGATGCAGACTTGGGTCTGACTCTGAACTTGCTTTTGTGGTCTCTATCATTCTTCCTGTAGACGTCTTGTCTGTCATTAGGATGAAAAGGCTCGTGAGTGTGAGTGGGTTATAAAGTGTAGCTTTAAAAAGAAGGGGATCTAATGGATGCTGCAGGTTTGTATGATCTTTCACTGCTTCCTTGTTTTCTGGGAGGCTTTTCAGTCTAGAACCTTCTCAGGAGCCAGAGTCACAATGTGCTAGGATCGACCTCGACATCCCAGGACAGTCTGACAGGACTGTAGGAATCACCTGCACACAGGTGGACTTCTTTCTAGGACTTTGAGGCATCCTTGCTGATTCAGAGAAACAGAGTCTGCGAGTTTGCCTCAGTTTGCCTCAGAGAAACTGAGTCTGAAAACAGAGTCTGAGAGTTTGCCTCCGGCTCGAGGGACATCTTGGGGAGGTGACTCTCTACATTGGCTCTCACAGTCACCTTCCTACTTCCTCTTGAGAAAAAGGCTGGGAGGCAGCAGACCTCTTCCAACTGGTAGAAAGAACCCTGGAGGCTCTGGGAATCTGAGCAGCGGAACTCGGGAGTGGAGCAACTTTGCCTCACAGCACACCTGGACTTTCAAAGGCACCTTGAAAACAGTCTCTGGAAATTTTGAAAAACCTGAATCTTGAACTGAGTCCCTCCTGGGGTGTGGGTGAAACAGTCTTTTGCTGCCACTCCCTTATCTGCCTCTGTCTCTCAGCCTTGCTCTACCTGACACTCAGATCGTCTTGGTTCTTTCCCACGCTTGACTTGGGCTTTTCGTGTCCAGATACCGCAGAGCTTCTCCTGGGATCGCCAGTCCAGCTTCTCTGCCAAGTCCACATTCCCATGTGAGCTGAATTAGGGAAAGAACAAATATGCAATGTATGGTGTCCTCTGGTTGTTTACTGACATCTCAGTCAGCCCTGCGGTGGGCATGCAGCGCAAGACCTTCTAAGAGACCCACCTGGAAAATGATCTCCTAAGCGCACATTATGTACTCCCTGTCATCAGGATCATGCAGCTCATCACAAATGAACCATGCACGTGATTATTTTCTGCACATTGAGCGTTTAGTTCTGTTATTAAGCTTCTGTTGCTGCCCAGTATGTCTTGATGCAACCTCTAGACCTGTGTACCTGCCCTGCTTTAGCAAATGGACTTAATTTTGTTTTTCTTAAATCTTTTTCTCTCTTCTAGTTTCCCAAAGAAATTAGACCAACAGCTTATGAGTGGGAAGAAAGGGACCTGCTGTATGCATAGAGCGAGTGGTCCTTTCCATCCATCATATCCTTTCACCCGCATCCCAATTTTATCCCGTGCTATGAGGCACCAAGGGAAAGTGCTGGGTAACAGTCATGCTCTTAAATTCTCTGCTGCTCGACCCAAGATTCTTCAACTCTTTTTGTTCCTTTGTGGACAAGGACTTCCCTCCTAGGTTTTTTCTGTAACTTCTTTTTGGCATTCGCATGTTTTGCATCTTGTGAGTTATTACTGTCACCTTGTCCAGCTTGCAGAAAGGACATGAGAGGAAGTTTCTCTCCTTCAGTGACTGGTACAGAAGGATACAGCCACAGGCAAGGGGAAGCCACCCATTTCGTTCATGTGGCTATGCTGTCCCGCGGATACCAGGACATACCTTGGTGACAATAATAGGAGCTGCACCAAGGGTGGTATCTTAGAGTCAGTCTGGCAAAGGGCCTAGGCACAGACCAGGCAGCTGAGGCCCACAGCTCTGAAGTCACTTGTTTGTGGTGTCACAGGTGGTGGTAGAGCCATGATCAGGAGAGGTATTTGACTCCCACCTGCATGGTGATTTTTGAATCCACGGCTTGTTTCTGAGGACATACATTTATATAGCTAATTTGACTTAATGTAGTCCCAGTAAATTAATGATAATGTTTCATTCTCCCAAGGCAAATGTCAGGAAAGGAGCTGATTAGCTATATGACCTCCTAGCAATCAAACCTGGCTGCTACCAAGAGGGGCTGGGAGAGTGGCTGTTCTCAGAACACTTCTATTAAGGACCTCATCTAAGAGGGTGCATTTGCCTTTGTGGCTTTTCCAGACCTCTGCTTTTGTAGTATCGTGTTGTTCTGCGCTGAAGCTTCATGGCACATCTGTTTTACAGCTAGAAGCCTCCGTGCACCCGCAGGGCTGTGCTGGCCAGCGGCAGACCTGACTACCCCACTGGGAGGGGGCCAGCTCACACCTGCACAGGAGTGAACACCAGGCCTCTTGTAGTACAGAACTAAATTGCCCTGCAGTTTTTATGCCTTTCTGATGAACATTTCTTCATTAAGAAATGTTGGTTTCTACATGAGAGCGGTCGTGTGGTGAGGTTGAGACAAGTGTGAGGAGAAAATTCTCCAGTGGAATTGGGAAAGGGGCATTTGCCTGCAGCACTTGCAAGGAGTCCTGTGCTAGATCAGGCTCTGGGTCTTGTTCATTTATGTTAGTGAGGTAGGGATAAGTACTTGCAAAGCATTTCATCTCACTGAAGGATTACTCTACATGTAGTATTAAGAGCCAGTGTCCATGGTTTTATCACATTTGTCAGTTTAGTCACTTATTCTTAATCATGGGGAACTACTCTTCAGCACTACTAGAGTCATTACTATGAGACTTAATATAGCTCCTTATCCACAGAGACAGTCCAGTTTCCACCAGTGCATGGAAGGGAACTTAGAACCTGGTGACTCACTGGGCCATCACTTGTTTATCACCTGAGCATTGATCATATCACTCCCGTCCCTGGGTAGATCCACACAAATGTGTGTTTATTAGAAATGTGTCAACCTCTGTCACTGTGACAGAATATCTGAGCTAATTAACATAAAAGGAGGAAAAACTTGTTGTGGCTTACAGTTGTGGTGGGTTTAGTCCATGGCAGTTTGGGTCTGTTGCCTTGGGACCTGTGGAAAGGCAGCACATCAGGACAGAGAGTGCATAGTGGACCAAACTACTCCTTTCATGGTGGTTAGGAAGCAAAAGAGAGACAAGAAGGGGCTTCTAACCTGCCTTGCCACCAGACCCTGCTCCTAAAGTTTCCACGGTACTGTAGGGTAAGGACCAAACCTCTAGCACATGGGTCTTTGTGGGATATGTCAGATTTACTCTTAGTAAAGTGTGAACTTGAGGGTTTCCATTTCCTCATCTTATCCAAAATGTGTGTCCCTAGACTAAGTATACCACAGTATAATGTAGGACACTGAGATCTGCTGCTCTCTGGGGAAATCTAAACATCTCCATAACTGAAGAGGTTAGGAAGACTGAATGACAGTTAAGGGCCTTAGGACAGAGGAGAAATGTGAAATTCCACACCTACATTGTACTAGTGTTTGGGCAAAGAATAAACTGGTAAAGAGAGGTCAAGGTAAGAAATCAGGAAAGGCATGAAGGGAAGACCACCCTGAACTCACACAGACTACTTTTCCTGCGGGAGTCCAGAGTAGTTTGATGTTGACACTCAGAAGGCATCAAATTATTATCCAAAGTATCACAAGCCATTTGCTTTTAACCAAATAGGAGGAAACTACACAGAAACTGGATCCATGAGTTTTTCCCTGAAAAGAAGCTCAGAGGCTGGTCCCCCAGGCATGTACACCTTATAAAGCATGAGTTCCGTTTTGTAATATGCAAGGGACTGGACCCTGGGAACAATGTTGCTCTTGTTGCTAAGCTCAAACAGCACTCGCCATCGATGGTATCCCTTTAAGGGAAATCTAGCAAAAGGCTCTTGCCAGCACCATGATTTTATTTGCTAGAGGCCCAAGTGGCAGTGGCATGGATTGATTCCATAGCAACATGTCTGTGCAGCCAGAAAACATATAATGCCTGTGGCAGCCCGTGTATCCTGGGCAGGATGAGCACAGCCCTGGTAGTACATCTTTCACTTTCCAGCGCATCCTCTGCTTTCCCCTCCTGGGGCCTGCAGTAGTGCATGGAGTATGGCTGTATCATCATTGCTAGCTCTCCCTGCTGTTAATACTTCCTCTGTCCCCTTCCAGCTTGGAACTTGATGAGACAGGAGGCAGGGCCTGCGGTACCTACCTGCAGCCTCTGGATGCAACAGCAATGCTGAGCGGCTCCTCATCTTCGCCATCAAGAGTAGGCGGAGAGGTTGTGTTTTGCTAGGGCTGCACAAGGAAATACAGTGCTGATTTCTTTCCCTCCAGGAGTATCTACCACAGTGACAGTTTCTATCTGCAGTTTCTCCACTGATATGTTCCCACAGCTGTCACATGTCACTGATGCTTGCCACCTGTCACATCCTTTATGAGACCATTGCAATGCACACTTGTTTCAGCCAATGCTGTTTTCCTCTGAACTTTGGAAACATTTAAAAAAAATTTTGCCACCCACTTGACACATGTCCTGTATCTCCTCTTTTGAAATACATAGCTCTGAGGGCCTGAGCAGTCGATCTTTCTAGGCAGAGAGGAAGAGGGAAAGCCCTTGAATGTTAGGAGGCATGTATCTCCTTTTTCATCTTTTATTTTAAATTTCTATAATGCCTGTGGAGAGTAACCATGCCATAATACTTGTTCAGGATAACGTCATATTTTTATTCTCTCTCTCAAGGAAGTTGTGATACTAGTATGTAAGTATATTGCAAATGTTTTCATATTTTTCAAAGAAAATATAAATGCAAGAAAGTCTTTTTTTTCTAACAGGATGTCTTAGTTACTTTTCTCATTGCTGGGACAAAATACCCAACACACACAAGTTAAAGGAGGAAAGGTTTATTTCAGCTCACAGTTTGTAGAGGTTTCAGTCCACGTTCAGCTGTCTCCAAAGCAAAGCATCATGGGAGATGAGAAACAGTCCATGGCAGGGAAGGCAGGAAACAGCCAGCCTGACTTTCTTTCTGCCCCTTTTATCCCATTCAAGCTAGAAGCCTATTGATAGGTGCCACTCACAATCATGGTATGCCTTTTGTTCTCCATACCCAGAACTGTGCCAAACCCATTTAGTTATCACATACACTTAATCACAGTATTGCCCAACCTAGATCCATCCACATCTGAAAAGCCCCACCTATGAGCACCTGAGGCTTTGAGGAGACATCTAGATACAAGCCATAACACCGGGGTTTTAAAAACCCTTACAAATCAGTAAGAAATGATCACCAAGCTAGCCTGTGACTGGCCCTGGTTGACATAGAGCCCTGAGATCAATGGGTGAAATATTGTAGCCATTGCACTTAATTCCTGGTGGCCCATGCCTGCATAGTGGTGTTGGTTTATGAAAATAAATAATTGTCATTCCATGTTGGTGATAGAGGAACAATATAACTCCTGACCTGTTACAAGTCAAATGTACAGAGTCTGTGGCCTGACAACATCGATGGGTGAAGTCTCAAACCAAAGGCAGAAGTTAAGAGAGTTTTATTGGGAAGAAGAGGAGGAAGAATAGCTCCTGAATTTCCAGGAGGAGTCCTGAGTAGGTGGCTGTGGAGGGCCTTTGTCTACAGCAAAATCACAATGTGGGTATGAGGATCAAACTACGATCAACCTATAGGATTACAAGTATAGCCTCTTAGCTAATACTGATCCAATAGGGAAACAAGTCACATAGCAAGGATATACGGGAAAAACAAAGGCATTTGGGGGAAGGCAGGAGAGTATGGGCCTGGGTGTTGTGTACCTGGTGCCTGTCTGGGCCCACCTGACCGGGCAGTGTTGATTGCAGTGTAGTCTCAAATTGCTGTTTATCTCCCAGTCCTGACTATTATGGTTCCATCTTGAGGCCTGGTTCTCTTCAGATTTGCTTCCAGCAAATAATTCCAGACATAATTCCAATGTCTCTGTTTCTCTGCTGACTTCCTTCCTTGTGAGCCTAGTCTCTCTCTGACTGTATATTAATTTCTATCTAACTTAACTGTCTGTGCTATTGGGAATGATTTCTCGGAGATAATTTATCAAATCACCAACTCTGAGTTAAACAGCCGCTGTGTGCAAGACTAGCTCCTAAATTTGGGGAGAAGTGAGTTGGATGGATAAGAAGTTCTGAAAGTCAAAGCCAAGGCTCCTGTCTTCCTGAGGAGGGCATGTGTGATTAGGGTTTAGGACACTGAACTAAATAAGGTGTGGCAAATATAACAATCTCACAACACATTATTATATACAGATTCATTGCCAAACAGCATAGAGAAATAATAGAGAAAATGAAAGCTAGTATTAGCCAAGATAGGGTAAATTTTTGTGGAGGAAATGATCAATCCTAAACTTTCAGTAGCTTAACAAAATAAATTTCTCACTTAGACATGAATGTGGTGTTTGTCTGCCATGAATGTCTGCCATGAATGTGGTGTTTCTCCTGGATAGTTGTATGACTTCATGATGGATGCAGCCCTCTGTGCATTTTTTCTTTTCTGTTTTTTTCCCCCCAGTACTGGGGATCGAACCCAGGACCTTCATAGCGAACTACATTCATGACTCTTTTTTATTTTTTATTTTGAAACAAGTTCTTGCTAAGTCACTAAGTTGCCCTGGCTGGGCATGAATTTGTGATTTTCCACCCTCAGCCATCCAGAGTGCTGGGATTACTGGCCTGTGCCTCAATGGACAGCTACTTTGATCTTTTTATTCAACCTCCTAGAGGCCTCCTTCAAGATCCCAGGAAAGAGGAGAAAACTGGAGAATTGCACCAGCAATTAAATGCCTCAAAGCTTCGGCCTGGAAGGGACATTTGTCACTTGCTGGCTTGCACTTAGCCTTTTGCACACCTCACCTCATTCCGGCCTGTCGCCCTGCACCCTGTGGGCACTCCGTGAGTGTATGTTGGGTGAAAGAATGAATTGAACGTGGGAATGAGCTGTAATGCCCACGGCAGGCCTGGAAGCCTGTGCTTCAAATAATGCGGTCTGGCTCAAAGATATTGACTAAAATTAAAACAGCATTAGTACAAGTAACAACACAGTAGTTCACATTAATTATCCATAGTGAGTGGAAAAAATCATAAGGACATGGCCAAATCAAATCCCATTTAGTTGGCTACTGACTGAAGGAACTGTCAGAGGTGCCACTTCACAGCCTTCCTGTTATCTGGTGCGGACCTGTCTTTCTAGCCTTGGGCCTCCTGGATGATGTAGAAGTCATTGTCCTTGTTTTAAGATGCAGAAACTTAATGGCAAGTTAACCGTCAGGGGAGGTTCTGTCATCCCATAGCACTGCACCAGCTTCCTCCTGTATCAGAGTCACTGCATGTACCTTGCAGCCATCAGCTTCAGATCAGTGTGGAGAATATTCTAGAAGGAGCCCCACCTACGCCTGAGAAAAGCAGAGCCCCTGAGTGTGATAAGCTGGAAACTCCATGTGTGAGCCGACAAGGACAACGGAGAGTTCACAGAGACAAAGGAGAACCTTGCACTGGACAGGAGAGGTGACCACATGTGTCAGACCAAAGAACAGGGCCCTCTCAACCTCGTCTCTTGGAGTCCTGTTTGGTCAAGAGAAACCTGAATGCAGAGAGAACCCCTGAACACATGTCTAGGTGTGAGAGCGTGAAATAGTCTTTTATCTTCTTCCCTGTTTGATAGCCTGCAGGAGATCCTTGGAGTCTTGAAAGTGATTAAATGTCCTTTGTATGCTAATGACTGACTGCTGTCTGGCTGCCCCTAGGTAGCTTCAGGCTGTGTGCTGATCACTCAGCAAACAAGGGCAAGATTAAGGGTTAGGACTTTCCGCCCTCCTCTGGACCTCCGGGGAAGGGATGGGGTTGAAGGTGAAACTGACCACCAGTGGTCAGTGATTCTATTGAGCACGCTTAGGCAAGGAAGCCTCCATCAAAAGCTGATCTGGGGCTCAGATCAGCTTCCAGACTGGTGCTCAGGCAGAGGTGGGGGATAAACCTAGGTAAGTGTTCACCTGCATTCTGTAAGCCACACCCACTAATTAGTTGAACCTGAGGCAAGGACTGTGGGAGCTTTGGTTTGTAACTAATTGGCCAGACAACAGGTGAGAAGAATCCAGGGCTTCTCTGATTGGAGTTCGAAGTGGGGAGGGGACAGTTCTGGGACGAAGCCTTCAACTACCTCCGTGTAATGGCGTAAGAATTCGGTCCCTTGGAGGACGTCCAGCTGGTGCCCCCACGATGTTGCTTGCGCATGTGGTGGGTGGCGACAGTACTGTACACCTTCCCTCCCAGAAGACTGCTCTGCTGATGGAGAATACAGGAAGAACTGAGATGTGGTGCTTGGTGGTTTCTGGTCTGGGGGACGCAGTGGTAAAGAGGATGGGGTGACTGTTTCCTTGCTGTTTCAGATGGACAGAATGATGCTATAGGGAGGATCCTTAACTGGGGGTTGGCAGGTTGGTGACGTGGCCCACCGCGTTCCAGTGAGGTTGGATTTATGCCTGCTCATGACCCAGGAGGCCGTGGAGAAAGCAGACTGGGGCTCCTGCGGGAACAGTTTGAAGAGACAGATGTGGAGACCTTGCAGGAGTCCCTGGAAACAGAGGAGCTGTTTGGATGCAAGAAACAAGGAAGAGAACTGAAATTGAGTCCATGTGGCTATTGAAATTGACCTATGTGGTAGTTTTGTTTTTGATTATTGTAACATAGTTTCGTTCTGAGTGGAGATTTCTCTAGCAGAATCTGGGGGCGCTGTGAGACCGGGGAAAGCCCCCTCTGAGTAACAGTGTTGTCCTAACCCCAACCTTTACACTTAGCCCATCTAACCCTCGTGCCCACAGTTTAGGATCAAATCTTATTTGAGCAGCAAAACCTGCAGGCTGAAATTTCATCTCCATCCTGGCCCTCTAGTGGAGATAAAATGCTTCAAAGGTAGCCAAGAAAGTTAAAGGAAGTGAGGTTACAGATAAGAGCCCAGGCAGCCTGCTACCCTCCGCCACAACCTCCCTACAACCCTGGGAAAGGAATGACCAGGTACTGCTGCTTGGTAAAATTTCTGCAAACTGACAGGTTTTTTTTTTAAAACTGCACAGGGACCATTGCACATTGCAGGCTGTTTGATTTGACAAGGAGCCAGTTTTGATTTGGAAAAAAGAGAGAGAAAGAATGCTGTTGGATGGGAGAGGAGGGAATGTACTGTATTGCATTCCTATTTTCCTTTCTGGGATGGGCTGCTTG